CACGGTGATTAATCAGATTTAGATATTTCTTTTTTATTTAGGTTTTTTTTTTCATGGATACGGGGATGAGATGCAGAGACAGGAAGGAGGAGAAGGAGGGGGAGGGGAGTTAACTACGTTTAGTGACACGGGTTGAGCCAATGGGAAGATGACAGGTGGAGTATGGGTGATGTGGAGAGCTGGTATTGGGTGGAACTGGCCGTTGACTTAGAAGTTGGAACTTTACTTAAATTTGGATTTAAAAAAAAATATTAGCTTAAAAATTTAAAAATTTTAACAAAATAATACAAGTTAAAGTTTCAAGTATAAAATATTAGCTTAAAAAAACAAAATAATACAAAAAATAATACAAGTTAAAGTTTCAAGTATTTTAATAAAATGACATATTTTTATGTTATTTAAAAAATATCTGTTTATAATTGTGTAATATAACTTATAAAAAATATGTATTTTGTAAGATACAAGACTGGGAAATATTAAAAAAAAATGTGATAATGATTATTTTTTAAAATGTATTTTATTTGGAAATATAATAAAATAATATTTTTTATTTTTTAAAAAATATTTTTAACAATTTAAAAATACTAATTTAAAGTTAAAAAATTAAATTTTTTCGGTAAAATGAAACGGTATATTAAATCAATGTCCTTAAACTTGGGTATTTCCAGTCACCGCAGAGTAATTGTCGCGTTTAAATAAAGCGAGAAATGTTTAATTGAATTAGTAAATATGTAAGTTTAAAGGCTGCTCTATCTTTATTCTTTCCTTCCTTACCTTCTCCTTGCTCTGGTATTCTTTATTGGTTTGTGATTCCTTCTTTACCTTCTCTTTGCTCTGGTATTCTTTATTGGTTTGTGAAGCTGCTGACAGAGCCTAGGTAAATCGGTGGAAAGGCAATGCCCACCGGTCACCACCACCACCACCAACCACTCAAGCAAAAACCATGAACTAAAAGAGAAACCCATCAAAGACAAGCACAGTAAGAACTGATGCATGTCTCTCAGTGACACAGCACTTGGGTGCATCCAAAGCGCATGAAAAGCCAAACCCATGGTTTTTGGACTTTTTTATATCAAATCAGTGACTTTCTCTACCTGCTCTAAGAGAAAGAGCATGTCCCTCCCTTCCTCCCCTCTACCGAGCTGGATAGAGTAGGTCAATCTTGTAACCAAAGAAAAAACCAAAAGTCAAAGTAGCTCCAAGTCTCCAGTGAAAGGCAAACGGTAATTATTGATGTAAAGAAAACAAAAAAAGATCGAATGCGAGAAATTTGTGAATTTATTATGAAAACCTAGATAAGAACCATTCAGGATAGGTTTTTTATGGCATTCATAATCATCGGATCTATCATTTCACCCACTGAATACCTTACCCAACGCCAATTTTATACACACTCCGCACTCGGCTCTGGCCTTACTTGGATTGACAGTGGCATGCAGATTCCACTGCAGGCTATCCCACAATTCAACTATCCTGTCACCCTTGCTGTGTAGAGATTGCTCTTGCACCACTTACTGGAAACTCCCTTTTGCTTAAACCTCCAATCCAGGTAGAAATCTAACCTCTGATGATCCCCAAATTCTGTCTCCCCTTGCATATAAGTTGAATAAGAAGTGTTATTCCACTTGAAAGTACATGTATATATGCTCACATAACAGCTTTTGCAGGTCAAATAATTTCTAGCAGGGTGCTGTAGCTTGTCCTTCGCATGGTTCATTCCTTTCACTTGGCTGGTTTTCACAAGGGTCTTATTAATTAGCTGTGTTAATGGAAAGGGTTCAGCGGCTGGTGACTTCCTCGTTAGCTATACATGATATCCCGAAGTTTACTTTATTTAAGGATTGGCCATGGATGCCAAGTAAAAGGAGCAACGTTCTGTAATTAAAGAGCACAAGAGTGAGGACACCTTATGTGACCATTGTTGTTGGATAGCATCATCCGGCTCGATATGGTGACAATTGGAGCAGCTTTTGGTGCAGTTTCAACACTCATCATAACAAACTCTATCAAAGAAGGAATCCACCATGGCAATGCAGCAATTTTGGCCTTTAGGTATAAATAACATTACTGCCAGCCTTTTCTCATTCATTTTTTCTACTATCATTCTCAAACGAGCATGTTTTTTTTTTGAAAAAAAAAATTACATGATTTTTAATATAATGTCAGTTGAAATTTTACATCATGTTTTATAGGTCATGTTTTTTTATATAAGAGAATTATTCTAATTTAAAAATCTAAATTGGTGAGATCTCAAAAAATAAAATAGGATAATAAGATTTGAATTCATAATTATTTTATCAATAAATATTTAATACTATATAAAAAAATCATCTCAACCTAAAAATTTAAATTATTAAATAAAATTTTAATAATAATAATTTTATATGATTCTTTAACATTTTATAAGATTCACTCGTAATGCTGAATAAAATCATGCATAAATTAGACTTGAAAGATATTTCAAAAATTTTAGTTATTTTTAGAATTTTTTAATCAAGTTTTATAATTTTATTTGGTGTAAGTTAATTTTTTAAATAATTTTATATATTATCTTTCATCAGATCAGCAAGTTAAGAATTATATATTGATATTTATAATTTATCAGATTAGAGTTCTCCCGACTCTCCATTTCCTCTTTCATCAGATCGTGTGCATGAAAGACATCGAGCTGCTGTGTACTTACTGCAGTGCATAGCGATTCTGATACGTGATGCAGTCGAGACAGGAACAGTGCAGATCAGTTTCGCTCCAGCACGGCGGCTCGATCATTTTCCATGCCCGGTGAATCTTCTTTCCATTTTCAATATTTGAGGAGGATTGATCATTTGCCCACTCGTTCTAGTTTTCACATGCCAGTCCACTGCCCAAAATACACTGAGCGCATGCTTGAATCGACCGAAGCTTGATTATCTACTCGCGGTAACTTGAACCACAAGAAAGAGTTCGCAATCGGAGCAAATTATCAAATCCATGGCAGAAACCACCGTTTACGATTTACGAGCATGATGACTCTCTAAGTGCTGTTTTTATGTTGATTTGCCTGAATTGGTTAATCTAACAACTAAAAATAACCAGTAGAATTGATAGGTTTTGTCAAGTTAATAATTATTTCAATACAATTTAAACTTTAATTTGAACAAGATTTCACATTACAGATTTTTCAAGTGAACTCGCACGAGAGTACGAGAGAACCTTCAATGGATTGCATGTGTGAAGAATTGGTACAGCCCTCGCCGAACCTCCTGTCCTCCTGTTTCGAGAGATTGTTTGCTGGCTCTTGCATTTCTATTAAATTAATTACGAGGAAAAATTATATTTTAGTAAAAGAGAATTTGGCATTTTCTGCTATATTTGTTTTTTTAAAAAAGGCTCCATTAAATTCCAATGCAGTGAGAAAAAATAGCTTGAGGACCAAACTAAGAGTTGGTTAATAGATTGAGGACAAATTCGAGGGAATTCCAAAAATTGAAACTGATTTTGGCTACTGATGAAACCTGTCAGCAATTCAAGTCCGGGGCCATGGGATAAATAAACTGCCGTTACTTGAGCCATCTTTTGTCCAGTTATAGAGAGATAATTTTTTTTTCCTGATAATTAACTGTAAAATAAGTCAGCAAATTATGATCTTGGAGAATTAACTGCCCCTCCATGTTTTTGTTTTATTTTTTCTGAAAAAATCTTAAAACAATATAAATTTTAAATCCACTCATATTAATTTATTAAATTCATAACTTGATATCATATCATTATTATAGCGTTAATCAAATTAATATTTTTTTAAAGTATGTTTCATGATAAAATATATTAAAATATTTTTTTATTTTTTAAAAATTAATTGAAAATAAGTACATTAAGATAATTTAAAATATTTTAAAAAATTATTTTTAATAAAAAATTAAATCTTTTCAAAAAATAATTGACATTATATTTCCCAGCAGCTTCGAATTCTTCATGCTTAGGATGGATACATGCCACAAAATTTTGAAGAAATTCTTTATCATTATGGCCGCAAATAGAAACATCATGGGCAATTGACATGTAAGCCCGAAAAGGTTTCTATTACTTGCTTGTCATGCTACAAAGGCTGTCGACAAAGTCTCGGCTGCAGGGGCATAGATGTAAATAAAAGCTGCCAAAAAAAGTTAAATAATATATTTTACAGATCACACGTAATTAAACATTAAATTCTGGGTTCAATTGTGCTGCATGTAACTGACAATATTCTCTGCATTTCTTGGATTCCATTAAAGGATAATTTTTTAAATTACTGCTTTAAATGTTTGATATCCCTATCATCATAATCCATCCAACTAGTTCACATAATATATCTATTTTTGACTATTAATTTTGTTAATGATGTATGTTTTTTCCTTTTTCAAGGTCACCATTTTTTTCTATTTTTTAAGATTACAATTAATAACACAATTTATTTTTAATACTCATCCTACTTTTATTTTCAATGTGCAATTTGTTTCTTACAAATAAAATAAAATAAAATATAAAGTGGTAAATCCTTCGAGCATGGAGCAATTGTTTTCAAGTGTAAGCTAATCACATCATTCATTAATTTTGGATTATCAAATTAAAATTATTTGGTTTGATTATTACTAAAATCCATGAAAAAAATCATTAATTTGGATTTTGCATGAATTTTTATACATTTATTGAATTTCAAACAAATACCAGATAAATTCAGATAAGCATCAAAGCATTATAAACTATCTTTTAAGAATAAATTTAAAAATATAAAAATTGAAACACCACACATGAAAACTTATATGATTTTTCTTATTTTAATCTCCCAGCAAAAAGAAAGGAAATTACCAAAAAGTTTTTTTCTTTTTTGCATGAAGAAAAAGTAAAAACAAAAAAACTACAAGCCATGTACGTGGTGGTCCCCACAGATGAGGACGGATTTGAAAGGGCAAAATAAATTAAAATTCACGAGCACACAAAAAATCCGATGCTTCTCCATTTACATAAATTATCCCTGACCCCAAAATAAATTAAAAATCCCTCTCTCCCTCTCTCTAAAAAAATCGAAACTTTCTCCCTCTCGCTCTAAAAAACCCTAATTTCTCCCCGGAATCACACACTGTTTCAAAAACAAGAGAATCCAAATCTGATTTCTGAATCCTCATCTCTTTCTAGGGTTTCAATGGTGCGAGATTGAAGTAATTAGAGCTGTAGATTTCGAAAGATCTGTTTGTATTTAATTTTTAAATTTGATTCAATTTAAGTGTTTATTTATTAGAGAAAGAGATTAGTAATAATGGCGTCGAATAGTAGTGATAAAGAGCTTGAACAGCAGTTACTGGAAGCTGGAAACAAGCTTCTTAACCCTCCTCCTTCTGTTGATGAGTTGCTCTCTCTTCTTGACGTAAGCCCTAAATTTTTATTTTGATTACTGTTGGATAATGTAAATTAATGCATGGCTTGGTTTTTTATTTTGTTTGTTAATGCATGGCTTAGATTTTGATTTTTCTGTAATGTGCTATTGATGTTTGAAGATTCTGTTTCTTTAGGAATGTGTTTTTTGTTTTTTGTAAATGCATGTGTGGATACTTCGTGTATTTGTGTGTGTTTATGGGAATTTGTGGAAGCTAGAGAGTGGAATTGAGTGAGAGTTTAGTGGTTTTTTGACGGGGTAGGAATTTTTGTAGTGAGTGATCGAGACAAGGTTGTGAGGGTGGGTTTTGAAGTTTGAAAGTGGAAAAAAGGTTTGATTTTATAGGTGTTGTGTATGGTATAGCATGTGTTTCGTGGGTGCGTTCGCTCGCAATTTTGAATTGTGTCTGTGTGCGTGTGGGTTTTTTTTTTAAAAAAGGTCAATATTGGTGTTTGAGTTTGAGGCCATTGGGGATTGTGTAATTAGGTTATATGGTAGTTCGTCTGTTTTTGGGTATGTGTAAGTGCTAGATTCTGAGTTTCTAGCTTGGGATTATTTTGAATTTTGCATTTATAGCAATGACATCAGTATTAAGGTTGGGAGATTTGTCGGAAAGGTCTAATTAATTCATACCTTCTGTTTTTGTGATTGTGCTATGTAGAAAGTGCTACTATAAATAGTTAATGGTAGGATGGTTGCGCGGTGAGAAAATTTTACTATATAACCGCTGAACTGGAATATATTTATGATTCATTTATTGATAATCAAATTAATTGAAGCCAGAGATTGAGAAAGAGAAGAACACCTAAAAGATCGAATACCATATCGCCCAGTTGAGTTGGTGGAAAGTTTTTATAGAGAATAATTGGTGGGATCAAGTAGGATTTCAATTGGGATCAAGTCGGATTTCAATTAATTTTTCTCCTTCCAAAAATGGAGATTATAGCTGTTGGATTTGCTGATTTTCCAATTCGGGTGAGGGCATCCACATGCCTGTATTCCTGTTTGCACAGCATTTTTAGCTCTGTGATAATGATGTGCGAAACTGTGATCGTCAGGTTAAGTAAATTAGGGTTTGTGAAGCTGTGAATAGCGTCATCCTTCCAAATAAGCATAAAAGTCGATTTACATAAATTCTTTTTGTTAATGCTTGCCTTTTTCTGTACAGAACGATAGGAGGGATGTTATATCTTTCCTTTTCATCTCTCTCATAATTAATTTGGCAACTCTCTTTTAACTCTTCTGATGTAACTTTGTGAAGCTTTGATAAAGTTTCAGTGAATTACTTTCTGCCCAAGGTTTTTCAAGGGGCAGTATCCTTGACAAGTTTTTCTTCGGGAAAATTTTTTCTTTCCAATATCCTTGTTGTTGCATTAAGTACACTTTGTCTGTGGCCACCCCACCAATATGAATCTCATGATATAAAATTCAGGCATGGATTTTGAGCCTCTAGTGCATTCTTCAAGCATTCCCACCTTTGAAACAGTGGTTCACAAAAGTTTTGTGTCCATATGCAGAATGTTTTCTTTCGTCTTGCTGTGTTTGTATAGAAGTTTTCTTTTCTTTTATCACCTCTGGTATGAAGCATGTAGATAACCACCCATATTTATCATTGGCATACATGTGTCTTCATGTCTTGTTGTCTGTTACACTCATAGCATTCCACTGCATGGTGTCCAAATGCTCTTATCACCTCTGTTATGAAGCATGTAGATAACCACCTGTATTTATCATTGACATACATGTATCTTCATGTCTTGTTGTCTGTTACACTCTTAGCATTCCACTGCATGGTGTCCAAATGCCATTATGTTTGTGGATTGGAATAGGAAGAATCAGTTTGAGATTATTTGACCTTTCTATAATACGATGAATTACTTGTAATGAAAATAGAGGTGTTATGAGCCTCTTGATTTTGCTTTGATATGCTGATGAACAAAATCTAAATTTCCTACATTTAATTTTATGATGAGATTTAAACAACTTAAGCTATTTGCTTGCTGATATCATTCTTCTTTCCTTGTGGGTAACTGTAGCAAGTTGAAAATTGTTTGTCAAAGGTGGAGCAGTCGCCTTTAAAATCAATGCAAGATGCACTTTCTCCTTCACAGAATGCTCTTGTCACCGATCAATTGTTCAGGCATTCTAACATTGACGTGAAAGTTGCTGTTGCCTCATGCATTAGTGAGATAACAAGAATAACCGCACCAGATGCACCTTATGATGATGATCGAATGAAGGTCTGCAGTTTTGACATCTTCAATTTTTATTAGCTTTAGAGCTTGAGTTATATTGTTACCTTATCTTTGACCACATGGTTTCTGATTTTTATTTTCTTCAATTTCATTGGCATGTAGGAGGTATTTCAGCTGATTGTATCGTCGTTTGAAAACCTAGATGACAAATCTAGCCAGTCATATGTCAAGAGGGCCTCAATTCTTGAAACTGTTGCGAAGGTTAGGTCATGTGTGGTGATGCTGGATCTTGAATGTGATGCACTGATAATTGAGATGTTCCAGCTCTTCTTCAAGACTATAAGGTATGGAGGAATATCTTCTTTGGGAAGGTTACCCTCTCTTGTTTTTTGGTGGCTTCCTTTCATCTTTTTTGCGGTTTGGTTGCTTGCTTTTGCTATGGGCTCTGAAAATTACACTGAAGATTATATTGTTAGCAAGGATAATAATGTGCAATTATATTTTTCCCTTTTTTTTGATTGTCTTGTGTCTTGCATGCATGATCGTTGTGGGTTTGGCCATGAGCTTTGGGTGACTTAGCATATATAGAGATGGCATTGAAATGGGTTGGCATTTGGCATCAATATCAGGTTGACTTTTGTTCTTGCTTTTGAAATACAGGGAGCGTCATTGGTCTTGAGTTAATTCTTTGATTATTCAAATCTCCAAAATGTATGATATGGTAATGTTAATGTTAGATTTTGTGATGAACTTTAACCCAGCATGGTTCTTGGCTGTTTTATGGAATGTGTAATGGGCTCAAACCTGTGCAATGACAGTATTATCTGCACAAGAAAACCTACACTGCTACTTAATTGAGCTTGATGCTTTCCTTTACATGTAATTCCAAAAGAGCATTTCTGGTGTGCTTTGTAAGGTTACATAATTCTGTGAAATGACAACATGTTGAATAGTGGGTGTTATAATTTTTTGGTCTTTTTTTTCTCATTTATTTTGTTTTTCAGGGATTATCACCCAGAAGATGTCTTTTCATCAATGGAGACCATCATGTCCCTTGTCTTAGAAGAAAGTGAAGATATTTCTGTGGAATTACTGTCACTTCTACTAGCTAGTGTGAAAAAGGGGGATGAGGTGAACTATTTCTATCATTTTGATGGCTATAAGTATTCTAATTACTTCCATTTGGTTTCTGTGAATGAATTTGCTGCTTTTACTATTTTGCAGGAAGTTCTACCTGTTGCTCGGAGGTTGGGTGAGGAAGTACTTGAAAGCTGTGCTGCGAAGGTTAAACCTTACCTTATACAGACTGTGAAGTCTTTGGGCGTATCTTTAGATGAATACAGTGACATTGTTTGTTCAATATGCCAAGAAATATCTGGTTCTGTTGAGCAGAATGATGTCCATGCTGGTGATGAAAATAAGGTAAGCTTGTCATCCTACTAAGGCTAACATGGTTGTTATGGTACTGATTTAACGACTCATTTAATGGTTTATTTTGTGTCGCCATCATTAAACTGTATTTGATATGTCAAGTGGCATCGCTGTCATTTTTCTGCAAATGATTTAATCAATGAAGATTCTCTAACATTTCCCCTTTTGGTTCTATTGCTGAAAATGCCTTGATTGAATTGGCACATAATAGGAACCTTTCTTTGTGAAATTATTGTGATTGGATGTCCCAGTCTTTGTTGTACCTGGAGTCAACCCCTAACTGTTGGTGCCATGAGAAGTCATATCATAAGTGCTTGGTTTGAAGTTTTTGTTTTGTGTATTGCCTTGTATTTAAGATAGCAATTACTGAAAAATCATGATCTCTAGTAGAATGGACTGGTTCTCTGCCAGTACAGAATTGTACCCCTCACGCAATTGGTTCATAATGTAACTTTGTGCATGTTGCTTCAACAAATATTTGATTTGGAAGTTTCTGTATTTTTGTTCTGATTGTTATGTCAGCAGTATATTTTGAATTGCATTTCATTAAAATTCCTGACTCAGTGGTCTTTGGTTGATGCTGGCAGTTGTTTACTGGCACAATTTTTCTTCATGTGGTCTGAATTCCATTTCTCATAAAATGCCCATGACTTGCTGCAGGTTGAAGAGAGCAAGCCAGTTGGGCCATCATCCGATGCTGCTGCTTCTCAGGCATGACACTTTCCCTTCTAGGTTTTGCCTTTTCATTTTATATTTATCTCTTTTTTTTTCTTTTTTTCTTTTTTGTATTTTTCCAGGTCAATGAAGAGGAAACAACAGAAGTGGCAACTCCTGAACAAGCCGAACCTGCAAATGACAAATGTCCAAAGTCAGCTGCGAGCAATGGTGTCACACAGATGGAGGAAGACGACTCCTTAGCAGATTCAGATTCCATGAAGAAGCAGGAGGATGATAACAAAACTGATCAGTTGAAAAGCATTGATTTGCCAAGTCATGCTGAACCTGATTTTTCAAATGCTGAAAGGGTAGTAGTAAATACAGAAAGTGAGGCAGAACAGACAAGCAAGAAGAGTGAGAAGTCTCCAACAAGATTGGCTGAGCCTTCCGAGAGTTCTCGTGTTGACTCTGAGAAGACAGCTGAGGAACTCCCTGGCAATAAAATTCACAGCGAGGATGTTCCTGGTTCTCCTCATAAAGATCAACCTGTTGAGGAAGCAATATCTTCTGAGAATGTAAAAGAAACTGGCAGTCAGCCTCCCTCACCTAAGGCATTAGAGGGTGATTCTGTACCTGTTGCTTCCCCATCTGTTAGTGAAAACCTTCCTGATGAAAGTTTTTCCAAAAAGGGTGGACGAGCAAAGAAAAAAGAGATCTTGAACAAACATTCTGCACCATCTTCTGATGATGTACCAAACAAGTTATCTGATGGAACAAGTGATTCAGAAGCAAAACTGCATAAATACTCTGGAAAAGAGGCATCTGCTGGGACTTCCAGTGAGGATAAGACACCAATGAGGACAGATGCATCCAAGAAGGAAAGTGACACCACTGGCGAGCCAGAAGCAAAACCACTGAAGCAGTCATCTAAAAAGGTGGACACATTGAAGGAAAGCGACACCACTAATGAACCAGAGGCAAAAGCAAGGAAGCAGTCATCTAAAAAGGTGGATGCATCCAAGAAGGAAAGTGACATCAGTGGCGAACCAGAGGCTAAACTGCCGAAGCAGTCATCTAAAAAGGTGGACGCATCCAAGAAAGACAGCAACACCACTGATGAATTGGAGGCAAAATTGCAGAAGCAATTATCTAAAAAGGTGGGCACATTGAAGGAAAGCAACACCACTAATGAACCAGAGGCAAAAGCAAGGAAGCAGTCATCTAAAAAGGTGGACGCATCCAAGAAGGAAAGCGACACCAGTGGTGAACCAGAGGCTAAACTGCTGAAGCAGTCATCTAAAAAGGTGGATGCATCCAAGAAAGAAAGCAACACCACTGATGAATCGGAGGCAAAATCGCAGAAGCAGTCGTCTAGAAAAGTGGATGGAAGCAGCAGCAACAACAATGATGGATCAACTTTAAAGCAGTTTGAGGATAAGAAACGGCAGAGTCATGGAAAAGCAGTTTCTGAAAAGCATGTAACCAAAAGTTTGATGAAAGATGATGACAAAGTACTTACTTTCCTTTTCATACCCTTGTGATTTTGCTGTTTCTTTGCTAAATCCACAAATCAATAAATTGTTTGTTGCTTTTATCATGATTTACATAGGAAAAGACCCATTCAACCAAGTCAGCTGCAAAAACAGCAAAAGAGGAACATCACTTAGAGGAGACCCCTGTGACTAGCACCAAGAGGAAGCGTGCTGCTGGTGATGAAAAAGTACGTGTTCTTTTTACCTATAGGCACATGCATCCACAACAATCAATGCTTATCTGTTATTTTAATAGGTAACTTATCAGGCAGGAGAGTTAGACTTACTCAACCATATATAGACTGTGCTGATGTGATGCTATTTTTAAAATACAGCATGTCCGCTTTATTATTCCTTAATGTTCTGCTTTCTAGTGTTACCATGTATGATCGACAGCTGATATGGTTTGGATAAGAACACGCATCAGCTGTGTAACATGCGTTTCTTTTTTGGGTCCTGTTGTTTCTGTATCTAAATCACCTTTGTGTATATTGCTTTGGCTTGGAGACTTGTGCTTTAAGATTATTTCTTAGAAGTGATTGTGGTGGCAGGCACCTGATATTAAAGAATTTGACGAAAATGTGATTGGTTCAAAGGTTAAAGTATGGTGGCCAAAAGATCGCCAGTGAGTTCACACTCACCTCTTCTTATTTTTCTAGTAACCTTTTCATAAGCTGTTGCTGAAGCTCATATTCATACTACTATTGAACTGCAATTTATGTATGCTTAGATGTGTGATCCTTAAGACCCATCATTTTAAATAATGCTTTCATCATTCTTTCCAACCAGGCTGTTTTTCTTCATATTATAACATTTATCATAATTCTGCTGAAGTTCATACTAATCAAGGGTATTTGTTCCGCCAAGCTATTCTCTCCATTCAGGACTATTCCTTGGGCTCCTTCCACCCCCGTCCCTTTTCCCACCCCAAACACACACAATCCTTGTCAAAGTCCCACCCCAAACACACACAAACCCTGTCACAAAAAAAAAAAAAAAAAAAAAAAAAAAAAAAAAAAAAAAAAAATTGCTATTTTCAGATCTAATTTTCCTTTACTCATCATTTTCCATAACCATGTCCTGTCATTATGTTTATGAATTCAAATTCTTTGTGTATTATTTTCTTATGTTCCTTGTGTGATTTTGCAGATTTTATGAAGGTAAAATTGTATCTTTCGACTCGATTAAGAAGAAGCACAAGGTGTGACCTTAATTCAGGGTGCTTGATCTAGGGTTTGTTTATATATGTTAACATGTGCTTTGAATTTGGTTTCCTGCTTTTATTTGGATCTTCTCTTTTTTCTGGAAGGATTGTTTTTGTTTCATAACCTTCTGGATCTGTATGCATATACCTAGAGGTCTCTGTGCATTTTGACTAATTGAAAGAATAAGTTTGTCTGTCTGTATGTGAATTAAATGCCATTTTATTTATGCAGGTTTTATATACTGATGGCGATGAAGAAATTTTAGTTCTCAAAAGGCAAAAATTTGAGTTTATTGGTGATGACTCTGAGTCAGACAAGGTGAGTCACTACCTGAGTTGTCTCCTAGATTTTCTAGACGTTGTGCTGATACATTTAATTGACAGGAAGAAGCAGCAGATCCCTCAAGTCCTGAGACCTCTTCTGAAACGTATGTGTTCTTTCATGCTCAATTGACAATTGCATTACCTTTTAAACTTCTGATTGTTTTCCGCTGACTGCCCCAATAAACCCTCAATGATATGAAGTAATGAAGTCCGGCCCCAGATCAGTGTCTTGTGTGATCTCAAATGGATTTGCACTGATATGCTTTCATTTTTTATGATACGAAGCAGGCCCCTGAAGAAGAGAATGAAAACAAATTCTGACAAGTCAACTAAGCAAGGAAAGGGGGATGATTCCTCAAAAAGGTTCAATATAATCCTTCTGAATGTATGCTAGTTTCATTTGTTGGATTCCTGATAACATATTATTAAAATTAATAGGGGTAGTGGAGCTTCATCCAGCAAATCCAAAAGTGCTGCAGCAAAATCAGGAAAGTCGAAGGAAGTCAGTAAAACTGGTGGGAAATCTGTAGACGACTCTAAAGTTAAGAAATCAGATGATCATGGCAAAAACAAGGATCATACCTCTAAAAGTGGAAGTAAATCTGATGTTGCTTCCGAAACTGCCAGCAAATCCAAAAATGATTACTTGGTGACATCCAAGGCTAGCAAGTCCAAAGAAGATGAGACAAGCACGCCCAAACCCTCCAAGTCCAAGCAAGAAACCCCGAAGACTGGCAAGTCCAGGCATGATACCCCAAAGGTTTCCTCCTCTAATACCAAAGGTAAAGCCTCAAAAAGTGGTGGCAAATCTAACATCAATGGCGCTGGTAAGTTGAAATCAGGCTCATCAAAGGTGAAAGAAATTGATGATGAAGAGACCTCAACAGATTCAGACAAAGTGCAGCAAATTGCAAAGGTGAAGATGGGAAGTTCATCCAAAGGACAGGGGAGTGAGGCAGCGAAGAGTGGAAAAAAGCGGCGAAGAACTTGAAGTTGACGACTTCTCTCTTCAACTGCTGCATGATGCAAGCAAAGTTGTTTCCTGTCCCCAACACATGGACCTTGATGGCTCGCTCTCTTTGATGTCCTAGAGCTGCATCCACACGGTAGTAAGCCATGGTTTTGGTATCTTGCCATCCTTGACATGATTCCTGGGTCATTGGCTTACATTAGTGTTTGATAGTCTAGTTTGGTTTTAGATGGTATCTATGGCTGTTTGGGAATCTACAGTAGAATAGATTGAGGTAGTTTGTTAAAATAGATATGCCTTTATAGATAATGTGTAATGACATTGGGATTGTGATGCACAATGTCATCTTCAATTCACCATTGGATCATTTAGTCGATGCGTCATCGGGACATCGTTGCAAACAGGAACTTTTGGGGACGCCAGAGTTTGCAACCAGGCTCAAACCAAAACAGCCAGAATCCTAAAATTTTCGAGGAGGCTGTAACAGGAGTATTCTCCAAAGGAAATTGGAGGCTGAGACAGGCAATGGCTTTGGCTGCGGTGGTCGTATAGAACTCATGAGTTGGTTGATTCTGCTCATCCATGCTCGAAATACCTAATTTTGGAAACAAATGCGAACATTAGTAGTAATACTAGTACTTGTCTACGAAGATTGTTTAGGGTTAAGCCTGTGGCAGCTTTTGCTGTTCGATTGTTTTTGGGTTTTTGTAAGAGTTTTAAGTGGGATTTATGCAAAATTGGTTAGTTATTTAACCGAAAGGATTGATTTTGTGCCTGGCAATTTGAAAGAAATCCTAGCCAATCAAATCTGTACATGGGCAAGCATTAAGATTAGGCTTGATGGTTAGACCCCACCTCTTGGTTTGGGTGAGCTTTCAATTCCAAAGGGAGGTGACCAAACCGTGGAATTTTTCGGTACTGCATGGGCTAGCTTGTCTGTATACGTGCTTGAAAGTTGACATCTGAAGATATTAGTAGAGGTCAGACAGGACCCGCTTATATTTTTAATTAAAAATATTTTAAAATGTATTTTTTATTTTTTATATCAAAACAAGAAAATTATCTAAAAATATCTGAAAAATCGTTGATTTTATATTTTTTTAGATGATAAAAAATGCTATGATATAAAAACAAAGACTCTCTGGGTCTTTCTTTCTCTTTCTTTTTTCAAGGTTAAATTGCAACCCAAACTCATATTCGAAGGATTAAATTCGACACGCGTATTTGTTGATCATTGAGGAGACATGAAGAAGGAAGTACGGCAATCCGAGTTTCATAATTCTGACGCTATTGATTAATATTTTCTGGTATTCATAAAATAAAATAGTTTTTTAAATAAAATAAAGTAATATTTTCTTAAAATAGTCAATCCAATAACTTAATAATATAAAAATTTTCTTGGATTATTCTCTGAAACCAAGATTGAACGACGATGCTACTAGCAGGATAGTGAATTTACGAGAACCACAACAATGTCCTAGTCGATTTCCATTAAATACCATGTTATTGGATCAATTCATACATTTCTTCTAAAGTAGCCACATTTTACTACTTCCAACAAGAGTGTTATTATTATATGGGACCACCCCAGGTTAGCTAACAATAATATGGGCTCCAGATTGCATACCACTGTGTCCCGTACACTTACCTGCGTTTTTATGTTCTCAACCACTTGTTTCTATTCAGATTTCAGACATCAAGTTGTGTCTTGTCTTGTCCACTATTTTTCTTACAATAATGTTTATGTGGTAGCTCTAACTGTTGGGACTGATGGCCCCAATTCCCACATGCTACATCAACTTGCATCAACTTGCCCTGCTGCTTAGGTTAAAGTATATTGGATTAAAGTATATTTGTGTGTTGGGGTTTGTGTTTTGCTGTCGTTATAAATTTAAAATTATTTTAGTTAATTAGTATACATCACGCTTTTATTATAATTTGGTTCCTAAGACATTATAATTTATAGTTTTTTATAAAAAAAATTATCTTTTGAAACTATAATGGCAAAAACTACCACAATTCACAATACTATACACTTTAACGGAGTGATTTTGTTTGTTGGCAGTCGTTGAAACTCAAATTCCAATTCCCTTTCATCTCCCCCTCTCCCTTTATTTCTTTTCAATTTTTAAAACAATTTTCTTAGATGATTTCATTTTCAATTACCTTGTTAGTCAAATGTTGCTGAAAAGTTAAATGTTTGATGATTTATGTATCTTTAATTAGAGAGAGTGCTAGATACCAAGAACCACTTGAAACTTTTGTTAAGAGATTGTTTCTCCTCCTTTAATGAGTGGGTTGCGTCTCTGGCAATAATTGGATTAATGGTGATGAAGCCCTGTTTGCCCATTGTTAGGCGACAAAAATGCGTTTTGACGACCGTAAACTTAATACTAATATCCAAGTATCAATAATTACAGTCGGCGTGGATGTAATTAATAACGAGATATGATATTTCTTGATAAATTAAGAGATATACAGGCAATCTCCACGGTATTAATGAGGTTCATAGATGCGAGTGAAGATATGACTAATTAGTCAAAGAAACTGTTAAGAGATTGTCCCCTCCCCTCGTAGCTAGTTTGGAGTCTTGCCATAAGTGGGTTGGTGACGAACTTGTGACGAATCGCTATTCTATATGAGGTATCTTTAAATTTCGGTCTTGCTATAGATGTGGGGATGATAAAATTTTAAAATATAGTGTTTTATAGGATGAGAAACAATGTTTTTATACCAGGATGGGAGTAACTTATATTATTAGATCAACATTTATATATTTATATAGGTTAATGACACGAATTCTTGTATGATATGATGATTCTTCAATTTTTTTATATTTTTAATTGAGCTAGTTTTATTCTTGAATTTTAGACAAAATCATTGAAATTAGCCATGTGATTTTCACCTAAAGCCTTCGGTTTATCTAGCTTTCAAGGGTATTATAGGGAATGGAAATGCTCAGTGACTAATATGATGATTTGACTACTATTGTAAAATTTTTAATAACAATGAAAATAATAAAAATATTAATGAAAAATATTTTATTGATATTTTTTTATATAAAAATAACAACAAAACATTTTCATCGATAACTACAAATAAAAATAATAACAAAATAAAAAAATATTAAGTATTTATACATTCATGAGAAAAACATAGAATTTTAAGCTAGTAGTAAACAAGTAATTGTATATTTTTATTCAAGGTAAAGCTAACATTGAGTTTTGCAACCCATCACCCATTATAAACAAACTTTATATTCTCATGGTTACAGAACAAAGATATATTCTTACAGCTTTTATGTTGTTACTTGTCTTCTCTCTCATATTGATTACCATGTTAACCATGTTTTCATACACCTTCAGTTTGACATGCATAACATCCAGATTAAGATAAAGGAGATAAATTTTCCAGTTAGAAAGCTACCAAAAAATACTTTGTTTAATCCAGTTATAGGTCACACCAAAATCAGAAAATTTCTATTTATTGAATTGAAAACCAAATATAATGCCTCCGTATCATGAGACCACATCATACAATTCTTCACTTAAGTGTACCGGCATTGCAACATCTCTTTAAACACTACTTACAAAGAAATTATTTTGTTCTTTCTGTACTTGTGATCAGTTAGTAAAACCTCCTGATGGAAAAAAAAACACATTTTAATTACCATTATTTGTTAAGGTAAATACCTTGTTATTTTCTATACCTTATGAACATGTTAATTTTTCATACATGCTTCGACTATAAAACCATATTATACATAAAAAAATCATTGATAATCCATATCAAAGTTATCTTCATCTAAAAATTCAATTTTCTTGAAATATCATACTTCAAATCCTTAGAGAATTACAATTGATTCAACTTATCAATTAATAATCAAAGATAAATATTTATATTCCTACTCAAATTAGTAGGATTGTGTATGATCTTAAATAAAAACATAAACTTTGATTTTATATATATTTCTTGTAACAAATTATAAATTATAAATACCACCAACCAATAAAAATATATTGTGAGTTGGTTTATAGACTCGAATAAATCAAATATACCAGCTTTATTTCAATTAGAGAGTCATACGATCCTTCATTTGTCTTTTCATTACTAGAAACTTTGTTATAATTAATAGAATACAATAAATGGCTTATAAAAATTTATACAATACTCAAATTCAAAGTGATAATATATAATAGTAGTAGCTAGGGATAAGAAAAATAAGCAAATAATGAATTAGAAATATAAAAAAAAAAAACTAAAATAATTGACATGAGATATCAAACCAAAAACCAAGTAGAATATTTTATTAAAAAAATTTAGTTTGGTTCTAATTTTAAATTTGAAAACCAAACTAAACCAAATCAAATTGATTTTTTAAAATAAAAAAACTAACAAAAAGGAAAAAATCCATTACATTAAAGCTTGCAAAAGAAAAATCAAACTTAAAGACTCATATACTAATTCTATTTTTTAATAAAAAATTAAATCAAACCAAACATTTGACTTTAATTTATTATTGATTTGATTTGTTTATATATATTTTTTTAAATATTGGTTTGGTTGAAAATTTTCAATCCAAACCAACCACGCTCATCATTGATGCTAACGTGTAAAAAGTAAGGATGTAGAAAGATGTAAAGGCACCATTGTTATGAACATATAGGATAAGATACATGCGATCCCAAATGCAAATTAATTTTAACCCATTAGGTAAAAGAGATATGTTGGGTTAGGATTATTACCGATACTAAATAATTTTTTTTATTTTTGGCGTAAACTAGTTATTATTAGAATTTAAAAATGGATACCTGTGATCAAATGGGATTGCAATCCCCATCCAATCAAGATTTGTAGTCAAAGGTTCCCAATGACATGGAGTGTGGGGATAGCACAGAAGCAATGACAAGGCTTGTCTGCTACACAACCAGCAATGGGTAAACTACTTTTTAAATCATTGAATTTTCCCAGCATCATACCATTATTTTTTTTTAAAAAAAAAATTCTGAAAATAGTTCGGAAATTTAAACATTTACGAGCATTCGAATTTCCATGTTCAAATTGTAATGCTATTATTTTCATCATAGCATTATATAAAGTGAAAATTTCAGAAATCTAAGGATCTATATATCTAATAACCTAGGATATACTTTTCTTTTTTCCTACCATAACTATAAACCTTAAATCATACAATAAAAAAGTGAAATTCTCATAAATTCAAGAAATTAATTTAGTGTGATCGCATAAAATTGGTTTGAAGATCCGAAGATGTCATCTCGTGACCACGACACTGTGTTTGTGTGTGTGTGTTTAACTCAATTATGTATAATTGTAGCTTTCCAAGTTGTGATTCTGTCATCTCCGAATTAGTTTAGATCCCTCCTCTATATCCTAAAGTTGCAAGCTTTCAATTATTTAAATGAGGGAAGAAAGGCTAGATGCGTGGAGGGGTCATTAGGGGCTTTAGAAGCATGGTCACTGCTCCCCATAAATTCATATTCTTTCCAGTCTGTCTGTGCTTAATTTATTTATCAATTTGCACAGTGTTTTGAGCACCTGATCCTTTCACTGTGCAAATTTCCCACCTCCAACAACAGCAGAGATTAATTGGTGGATGACTAACTCAACCGAATCAATTATTTTTATTTAAAAGATTTCATTTTAAATGTTTTAAATAATTTTATATTAACCTGATTCAATCAAGTTCTGATCGGTTATTTATATATATATATAACTTAAAACATGGCTGCAAAGACTTTACCTCACAACAGTGTCCTATGATCCATGAGGCTAAGCACTGATCATTCAATCTCCCAGTGACCCTTCTGATCGAAGGTTTTTTTTTTTTTTTTTTTATTTTACCCGG